AATTTTTTTTGTTTGTTTGTTTGTTTGTTTGTTTGTTTAAGTAAATTATACAATGCTGTTTGGGAAATTCTCATTTTAAATGTAGCTTCTCTTTGGCAAAATTATTAAACATATCATAATCTTTTAGTAATTTATGATTTTCTTTCAGGCTTAAATAATTTCATTTAAACATTTTTGGCATGCTAATATGTAACTCACACAGTGAGTAAAAAAACTTTTTTTTTTTCCTGTGATTTCAAAATTCAAAATTCTCATTTCTAGCCAGCAGGAAGATTGCACTCTATCTGTCAAGTAATCTTACCACTTCGTGGTTATTATAGGCATAATTAAGGCTTTCATTTCAGGCTACAATCACCACTCCCCGTTTCCAGTCAAAAATTGATAAGATATAACAAAGCAAAAATGTATTTCATGATACAGTCAAAAGTCGTTAATCCGGACTCGTCGGGACTTCGGCGATTCCGGAATATCGATTTTTCCGGATTATAGATCATCAGTTTAAATCTCGTAAGATGGCATGTAGAAATTCTAAAATTAAAAATGTGAAACCGTAATTTATGAAATAAAGAACAATTATGATCTAAAGGGTATCAAAATTTACAAAAAAAAAAGCTTAATATTATTTTTTACTTTATTAAACATTTCTGTCAATGTAGTTGTTTAAAGTTGCTTCATTTTATGTGATAATACTTTTTCTTTAATTCTATAAAAAGACATAATTTCTGTTCAGTTACTAAGTTCCGCTGTTCAATCCCGTAATTGCTGTGCCGAGAATACCGACTAACTGTCAATCGAATTTTTTCGTTTTCACTAACCTCTCGTCCTTCTTCTGTCTTTATCCATTTTTTGCAATTCCACTTTTTGTTTGTGGACATCGAAACATACTTTCGTTTTGTAGATCCTTTGAAAGTTCCAGCATCGGAAATTCTATTTGACATAATCGAAAGTTCAAGTTTACTTTTATAAAATTGCTCTTACAGTCTGCAAAAAATAATAAGCCTGATCCAATTCCAAGATTAAAGAACAACGCTATCTGCAACATTAACTGAAATAGATAACTAGATAATTTTAGCTTACACCGTTCGTTGTACATTAAACGAGCTGGCGAAAACGTATTCTGCACTTGCGCACACGCATATGCGCAGTAGTCAAGGTCTTACGCGCACGCGTAAAACGCCTGTGCGCATGTGCCAACGCGGCGCATGCGCAGAAAGGTTTTAGCTTTGAGGTCCGGATTATAGATCATTCCGGATTATGGGTGTCCGAATTAACAACTTTTGACTGTATTTGCTGAGAACGCCTGGTAAGCGTAGTTGTGTATGCAATTCCATCTCCTGTCAGCTGGTGTTCAGAAAAGGGAATCGGTGTTCACTTAAGCACCACCTTTAATCATGAGAGATGTTCATTTATAAGGAGCTTGCTTTTAATGCCTCTAGAACAGCGATTCTCAACCGTTGGTATGCGAACCACTGATGGTATGCAAGAGAAAAATAGATGGTATGCAAAGAAACAAAGTATTTTTAACAATTAAATTCAAAAATCTCCTGGAGAAAAAGACTGTGATCAAACTCTTAACTGAAGATTTCAAAAATAACACGCTTGCTAACTTTTGGCTGAACTGAAAAATAAATAAATAAATAAGGCATTTCAAATAAAGCTATTAAATTTTTATTGCTAAAGAAATAAATTAAGCATAATCTATTTCTGTGAACAAGGATTTTCTTCCTTGTTATGTTTGAAATATAAATACAGAACAAAATTAAAAGTGCATCCTAAATTACGATTAAGGTTAAGTGAAATTACGACCAGTCATAAAGCAATTGATCTCTCTTAAACAGGCATAAATTTCACACTAAATTTTAAAATTAAAGATTATAACTTAAATTTTGATAATTAAAATGGTAACCAATTTTTAATCTAATAGTATTATTTTAATGCTTGCATATTTAATTCAAATAGTGAATAGGTTGGGCAAATGGCAAAATATACATTTTGTTTTAAATATTTCTGTTGAGTAATTGAAAAATAATCATTATAAAATGTAGTGGTGGTACTAAAGTTTAAATTTTTTGTTTAGATATTATGTGTTGGTCCAAAGTTTGAGAACCGCTGCTCTAGAAGGTTGATAATTTTTATCATAAGATAAAAGTATTCTACCTCTCTTTGTTCCAACCTGGGTAAAGAGATTTACAGGGACTAGGGAAGAGTGCCCAGCACCACCAGAAAGTCTTGTTTCTAATTGCATTGGCTGAAATTTTTGCTAAACTTGTTTTATTGAAGCATTACATATCTGAAAGATGAATAAACTATAAACAGTTTATTCTGAATCTGAAGAATCAATCTTTTACCATTCTGAATCCAAAGAATCAATCTTCGGCCAGTTTGTGTTTTATAAGTAGTAGAGATTATTTTAATAAATGGCAATTATTCTAATGATTAGTTATATATTTGTTTTGTATACATATTCTTGGAAATTTGAGCATAATAAGCTGCTGAGGTTATTAACTAATCAGTTAAGTAAGCAGCAGGTACGGTATATGTGTGTGTGTATATATGTAATATTAAAAGCACAAGGAAAGGAAAAGCCGTAGCAGTGTAGATGCGTGCTTAGATCCATATTGAAGAAAGGCACGACTAGAGTGCCAAGTGATTGTGGCCACAAATATCAATTGGAAATAAAATGGAATTAAACTTGCCTCGACTGCCAGTTTTTTAGATATTACCAAGTTAGCATTACTAATACTACGCAATCAAATTCTTCTTCAGTATGGGTCTATTAATCACCATCTACAGTGCCCGTTTTTTCCTGGCTTTTATTATGACATATATATATATATATATAATTTATTTACTAAGAAATATTGATTATATTATCTCCTGAGATTAATTTAGTAGAATTATCTTAAAAGAGTGAATCTATAGTTAGTAAGTTCAATTCCAAAATTGTTTAAAGTAACTTGAATGTAATTGCTAAAAATGTTTAACGGAGACTTGAATTAAATCAAATACAAAATTTCAATTGTAAAAAGAATAAATTAAAAGCAAGTACTTAATTCAAGTCCCCGTTAACATTTTTAACATTTCATTCAAGTTACTTTAAAACATTTTCGAATTCACTTGCTACTATGTATTCACTCTTTTAAGATAATTCTGCTAAAATTAATCTCAGGAGATAATATAATCAATATTTCTTTAGTAAATAAATTATTATTAACTTACTTTGCAGCAATTGCACAAGTAGTAGAATAACTCGATTTCGCACTAAGTGAATTTAAGATCATACAACATTATATATATCTATATATACATATAATTGTTTCATAAGAATAAATTGAATTTAATTAAAAAAATTAAATTTAAATACATATTTAATTAAATATTCTTTGCGCCATTGCTGCAAGGAATGAAATTTAAATTTAAACAATTTAAATTCTTAACAAATACATAAAGTAAAAAAAAAAATTTAAATTCTAAAAAAAGGAAAAAAGCGAAAATAATTTTAAAAAATGTGCAAACATGTAAAAGATTTAATTCTCGAACTAATCTACAATATCATTTAAATTCAGAAGCATAAGCAAATCAAGTGCAAAATCTATCCATGAAAATAAATCTACTAATTTAATAAATTAAAATTAAATTAAACAATTTCTTTAAAAAATGCATATGTGAATGACCGTAGAGTAGGCAGGAGACAGACTTATCAAGGGGAAGTTTACGCCAAATCTAACTCTCCAATCATTCAATTCGTGTTTCGTCATTCATGCAGGCAAGGGTAAAAGTCAAAACCAAAAGTAATTCCAATAAAGTGGTACCCTTAGAAATTAACATTTAAGTATTAACTTTTAAGAATAAAGTTCAAAGGAAAGTCTTTTGAGTAACAGCAAGTAAAGTCAAGAATTAAACTTTTTCTTAAAAAAATTAAATTTTTAAAAATTAATTTTTTATAAAATAATAAAAAATCTAGAAGCCAATGTTATTTTTAGAAATCCTTGTCTACAGAAACTTTCCCTACACGAATATGCATATCAATAAAAAGAAACTATAAAAGAACTATACATAATCCATATAAAACTAATAAGAAACAAAGGAACTAATTCACAATTTTTAAAAAACAAATATATATTTAAAAATATAATTTTATTATTTCATAAAAAATTAATTTTAAAAAAATTTAATTTTTTAAGAAAAGAGTTTAATTCTTGACTTTATTGCTTGTTACTCAAAAGACCTTTCCTTTTTGAACTTTAATTCTTAAAAGTTAATACTTAAATGTTAATTCTAAGGGTACCACTTTATTGGAATTACTTTTTGGTTTTGACTTTTACCCTTGCCTGCATGAATGACGAAACACGAATTGAATGATTGGAGAGTTAGGTTTGGAGGCAACTTCTCCTTGATAAGTCTGTCTCCTGCCTACTCTACGGTCATTCACATATGCATTTTTTTTTAAAAAATGTTTAATTTAATTTTAATTTATTAAATTAGTAGATTTATTTTCTATATATATGTATAAACAAATAATCAAATGTAAGGAAGGACTATTAAGAACTATATATATGACTTTTATTTAATTTTAATAGAAATTGATTGACTTTTTAGTTAGTATTACAATTATTTCTAGTAATGCTAAGAAAAAAATTTAGTTAAATGTTATATGAATTTTTTTTTTGCATGCTCTTGGAAAGTAATGTATTTTCTTTTGTTTGTACGTTGTGGTCAATTGCACTTATTTTCATCAGAAATGATTGAATATTTTAAAATAATAATAATAAAAATTTTAAACAATGTATTAAAAAAGTGAAACTGAAAAGGGAAAAATGCAAGCAACTTACGAATCAAAAAGAACAAGATTTAAAATTAGGCTAATTTTTTTATGATATGAAAAGTAGTAAAATTTCAAAAGATGTATAAAAATTCAGATTAGAATTCTTAAATTTTATATTTGTGCTGCTTTTCCTTCTGTGTGAAGTTTTTAATTAATTTTTATTTTACTTCTTTAGTAAAATATTTGAGAGAAGTGACTCCTTATTTTCGTAAAGGGGCTATACTGGCCGAAGTGGGATGGGAATTTCAACAAGGGGGATTTCTGCCATCATCTCAAGTGCATCGAAAGAGTGGCCGTGCTGATGTGAGACAGGTACCACTGCTTTTGTGCCACCTGTGTCGTAATCTTACAATGCCGGATGCTGATAATCGAACATTGGAAATTCATTCTCCTGATAGACGCCACTCATGTGTCTTGAGATGTCCAGATGCTGCTCAGTGTTCTGCATGGTTTAATGCAGTACATACTGCTGTAGATACCTTGATGTCAAAAGCAGTTGTAGAAGCTGGGCATCTGTTAAAAGATGTTCTTGAAAGAGCTGAACTAAAACATATGGGCTGGCTGTCTGAAAAAGTACATACCTTTATATACTTTATATGCTTTTTTTAAATCTTGAACTTAAATGAGATATTTCTGTACTTTTTGGTTAATAGAGCACCAGTTGGGGACAGATTTAAATGTTGGTATGAAATCCAACTAAAGAAAGAATGGCAACCTTAGGAGGCAATCCTAAATATATGGAGCTTTGTGAAAAGAATAAGTATGTCATGAAAACCAGAATACATTCTAAAATTCATAGGTTTTTATCATATTTATTTCATATTATACAAGGGGTATATATATATATATACCTACCAGTTTCTAACATTACTGAAAACGGTACGTACGGAAAATTCCATCGACCACAAGAGACCGTTCCAAACCAAACAAACCCATTTACTAAATGCAAGAAAAAACGTTCTATTCTTTTCTTTCAAATTTATTATATTATCATTTATTTATATTTAATTTTTCATTAAGGAGATATACAGTAAAAACAAATAATTTTTGCTAAGTTTTAATTTTCGCAAGAAAATAAAGTCTTGCAAAATTCTTTTTTTCACCTCAAATAATAATAAAAAATTCTGTAGTAGGCAGGTCCCAAATTTTAATCACTTTTTTCCCCTAAAAAATATGTGATAGAGGGGAGAAAGGAGTCTTTACACAAGAATTATAATTCGCATGTGTAATCAAGGTTACACCAAACCCAGCTTTTTGAAGAAGACTTTTCCATTTTTGGCGAAACATCGCGTAGTTCGGCATCTTTTCTTTAATAGGTGAAAATGGTCGATGGGATTTTCTGTAAGTACTGTGAAAACATTTGGATCATTAGTACTTTCTAATTACTCATATTCCTGGTTCCAACATTTGGTAAAATTGCAATATTTTGGTGTGTTTTTGAATGTACGTACCATAATAGCCAATGCACGTAGGTGTTTACCACAAATGTATTTGAGTACATGTGGATTTATATCCTTTATAATTAACTGTCCTTTAGGTTCATCAAAAAGTTGTTATCGAGTTGCTGACTTTTCATGGGAATGCAAACAATTAAAGTATTGGTTCTTATCTTGCAATTGATGCCACATGAATTTCTATTAACCTGAGTATTTTTTTGCTGATGTTTGTACTGCTAAGTCATTTAATCCATATTGGTGCTTTTGAGGGAGGCTGGAAATTGGTGAGGAAAAACTATCGGACTGATGGTTATCTTTCCCACTTAATAATGTCATTGTGTAGCAGTCAGAGATATTGTTAGAAACCAAATTTGGCACCTTGCTGCAGAATTACAGTTGGCGCTCCATTAACTAAAAAGTACCATCATTTTAATATCATATTGTCAGAAAATTTTTAAGGAAATTTAATTTGATTTTAAATTTTATATCTGAAGTAATTTTCATTTCAGATTAATGATGATGCTGGCGTTGTACAGTGGAGACCAGTATTCTTAGCAATCACAGATCGTGATCTCCTCTTGTATGATCTTGTGCCTTGGACTAAAGAAGCATGGGTTGTTCCTGTAAACAGTATACCTCTTATTCATACTAGGTATTTTGCATTTGAATTTTCTGCCATAATTTGAATGATTGTTTGCTAAATACAAAGTGCATAGTAATTGTGTTTGAATATTACAATTTTTCCTTAAGCATTTTTTAAGAATTAATATTAAACATGCTATAAAAGAGCATCTTGCCATATATAATGTCTAAAATTGTTTTATGTATCTTAACATAGAACCATGGTAAAGTTTGTATCTTTATAGCTTCTAAAACATTTTGAGTTTGACAGTTAAATTATATGCCTTTCCTAAAACTATCCAAATATTCAGCACACCCTCTGTAACAGCTTTAATATTGTTATTAATCTCTCGTGCATTTGAAATAGGTGAATAATAAATAATGTAGAGGTTACTGGCAGTATTGCTCGAGAGCCGCATGCAATTTCTTGCATGAAGCATGTAATTATTTTTTTAAAATAAGTTTAAATACTTTTTCTTCTCTTGTTTGTATGTCGTCATTTTTTTTTTTTTTAGTGTAAAATAAAAGCGTTTGCTGTGTTCCATCATTGGAGTTTACTTCAAATTGTTAAAGAAGTATCACAGTCTTAATTATTTTGGAGGTACCGGCTGAGATCGAATAATCGTGCATATTTTTATTTTATTAGTTCATCACTGAGTGTAATATTAGCGATACCGAATTATTACTTCTTGTTAATATTGAATTGCCTTATGTTATTACTTCATCACTAAACTATCTGTTTCTAAAATTAGTGATACCAGATTATTACTTTCTGTTAATATTGGTTGTCTTATTTTATTACCGTATTGTATATTATTTTTAATATTCATTTTAGTTGTCTAAATTAAAGTATTTGATTTGAGCTATTTTGAGGAAGTGTAAAGAACACAGTGTTCGTTAATTTTAAACATAGGAACCATGTCTTACTTAGGAAGAGCTCGTAAGGAAGATTTGCAAAATCTTGCTGCTGAACTGGGAGTTCATGTGACTGCAGATTTAAAAATAGTCGATTTAAAACAGAAAATTGTTGAAAGAAGAGATTATGATGAAGTATTCGTCAAAGGAGTCTTAGACACAATAATAGAAGTACGGAAAAAGAGGGAGGAAAGAGAAGAATGGAAAGTAAGGGAAAGAGAGGGAAGAAAGAGAAGAACATAGGAGACAGGAAGAAGTAGAAGAGCGGAGAAGGAAAGAACAGTATGAATTAGAGATTTAGACTTGAAGCAGACACAAAGTCTCAGACTGCCGGACAAGTCCAGCCGAAAACGGAACTGCGTCACCTTATGCAGAAATTTGATGATGAGACAGGAGATATCAGTCTATATTTGCTGTTGTTTGAAAGACAAGCAGAATGGGCTCAAATTGATAAAGAAGAATTTGTATCTCATTTACTAGGACTACTTCCTTACGAAGTAACAAAGTCAATAGCTAGAGAACCCTCCAATAAAGCTAAAGACTATGAACACGTGAAGAATTGATTGTGAAGACGGTTTAAGCTAAACCCGGAAAAGTTTAGGCAGAAATTTATGAAACATCAAAAGAGTACCCAATCTATATGGGTGAATTTCAACTATGAAATAGAAAATTATTGCAAAGAATGGTAACTGGTCTAGGAGTTGAGACTTTTGATCATTTGCTAGATTTGATGGTGCTTAACCAACTTCAATGTCGAGTTCCTCCTGAAATTCGAGATCATTTTCTTGATGAGTGGGTAGAAATGATTTCATCTAAAAAATTAGCTGAAAAACTTGATGTCTATGAAGACGTTCGCTGAAACTTTCAAAAAAAGCCTGTTGTGGATCAGCAGAATGAAAGATACAATGCGCTAACTCAAAGTAAGGTGAGTTCAGATAATAAAAATAAAACTATAAAACTGAAAAAAAAAAAAAATGTTATCAGGATTTAATTTGCAAAACTGGTTCCATAGACCTAGAAGTCCATGTCCAGATGATAAATATGAAACACAGAAGATGCCACAATGTTATCAGTGTGGATCCCATCAACATTTAACACGCGGGAAAGCGCGTGGGGTGTATTATACCGCATCCCTACATATATGTGAATATTCCTAACTTGTGAAACTGAAATTCTGTGCTGCATTCAGTAGCTGAGTTTCTAGTTGTGGTTGACTTTCAAAACTGCTTTTCTTTGCCTGTGTGTTTCAGAAAAGATTTATTGGTATTTTGTTGAAAATAGGGTATAACACACCCCACGCGCCTGTCCGCATAAGTGTTTTTCTGACCGAATATTTAGTTCAGAAATTTATTTCTTGTCCTTACCAGGTTAATGCTGTGAAAGAGAAATAGCTGAAGAGAAGATCTTGTAAAGCATCCAGAGATATCTTTGAAAAGAAGTTAAATTACTGGAACTAAATACGGAAGCTGAAGCTCTTATGAAATTGGTAAACATTCACTCAAAAGAAGTTGCACAACTTCAGCTTACTGATAAAGAACTGTCTAAAATCGTCCAAGAAGTTAAAAAAGAGTGTAAGAGTAAATATTTCTACTCGCAAGTGATTTTAAAGTACTTGACATTAAATACTTGAAAATTTCTAACCGCATTATGGTAAAAAGAATGACTCCCTATGAATTGAGAGTGGAATTCATCTCTATGAATTGGAGATGCAACGGCTGTGAGATTTATTAGAAATTGAAAGTGAGGAAGATTGCATTTTGGAAACTGAAGATGAAACTAGGAATATTTTCTACACTGTTTTGGTTTCGAAAAAGATAAAACATTAATTCCTAATGTTCCTAAAAAAGGAAAAACTGTTCTTATGCTTTCAACATTATATAATGATCATACTATTGAAGAAAATGAAATGTCAGGAATTATATGTTTTTATAGTGTGACTAAAGGAGCAGTGGATATGGGGGACGAAATGTCAGCCAATTAGTCAATTGCCAGAATAACAAGGAGGTGGCCAATGGTAATTTTCTTTCGTGCATTGAATGTTGCTGTAATAAATGCTTGAATTATATTACATTCAAGTGCTAATCCACCAATCAGGAACAGAAGTCTGTTTTTGAAAGACTTAGCATTACAATTAGTGAAAAAAAGTATTGAAGAAAGATCAGAGATTAATACTTTACCAAGAAACTGACGTACTGCATGCAAATTAATAGCACAAGTTTCGACGAAGAATTAAAACGAATACATGAAATTCGAAACAACTAAGTATGAAAGATGTGATAAATTGCCCTCGCACCAAGGACAGACGAACGTAAATGCAATGTTTAAAATGTGAAAACATTCTGTGCCGAGAACACATGAATGTATTTCGTTCAAAGTGTAAAGAAATAAAGTTAGCATTGTGTATTAGAGATGCAATGAAACTTACAGGCATGATGTTTATTTTTTTATTATTTTCATTTATCTTAATTTTAACTCTAAGATTATTTTGGAAATTAATTTTTTGAAACCCAATTAGTATTCACGTATTTATAATACACGAGAACAAGGAAAACAGCTTTAAAACTAAATAAAACTATTTTTATCATATTTTAAATATTGGGGTATGCGATACCCCACGTGCCCACTCTAGTAACTTTTCTTGGTGCAACTTCTGGGTTAAGATCCTAATGTCCAAAACTTAAGAATAGTACTGAATCTCCTGCTAATCTTAACAGAATGAGTGCAAAACCAGAGGATAAATTTCTATTACCTTATATAAGTATGGGTTACGTAAATGGTCATAAAATTCCTATATTAAGGGATTCAGGTGCTAGTATTGATATAGTTTGTCGCAAATACATCATGCCGGAAATGCTGACAGGTGAAAATGTGTGGGTGCAGCAACCATTAGATTTGATTCCAACCTGTTTACCATTGGCTGAGATTGAACTAAATTGCGATTTTGGGCAAGTAATAACTAAGGCTCCCATTATTAGAAAGGAAGTTATTTATTAGGCAATCAAACTTTTGCGCTGTTGAATAAACAAGGAAAGGAGCTTGATAGTTGTCCTCACCAGGTTAATGCTGTGAAAGAGAAATAGCTGAAGAGAAGATCTTGGAGCCGATGAAGGAAGAAAATAAAGCATCTAGAGATATCTTTGAAAAGAAGTTAAATTACCGGAACTAAATACAGAAGATGAAGCTCTCATGAAATTGGTAAACATTCACTCAAAAGAAGTTGCACAACTTCAGCTTATTGATAAAGAACTGCCTAAAATCGTCCAAGAAGTTAAAGAAGGTACATGCAAAAATGAGAACTATAGTCTGACAAGAAAGAGCTTTTAGTTAAAAAAACGGGGATAAGATGGGCTTTGAAAGACAGCTTGTAGTTATACCTGAAAAACTCAAGCTGTCAATTATAAAGATGTACCAAGAAGGAACTTCTGGTCATTTGGATATCAAAAAGATGAAAGACAGACTTGCTAGATATTTTTATTGGGCAAGGTCTTACAAAGAAACCAAAGATTTTGTAAAAACCTGTGGTGCTTGTCGGCGCACTGAAAGAGGAAATGACAAAAAGAAGGTTCCAATGACATTAGTACCAGCCATTTCCTAAATATTCACTAAAATAAATGTTGATGCTGTTGGTTCGCTACCTATTTCAAATACTGGAAAAAATATATTATTATAGCTCTATGTACGTCATCCAAATATCCAGATACTGTTGCGGTTTCTTCGCCATCTGTGATCAATGCTTTCTTACAGATTTTCAGTCGTATAGGTTTCCCAAAAGTGATCCAAACAGATAAGGGGACCTCTTTCGTCAGTTCTTTGACAGTGGAATTTTTGGAGTGTTTCGGCATTAAACATGTAAGAAGCTCTCTGTACGCAGAGTAATCCCGTTGAACGATTCCATAGAACGCTAAAAAAGGTGTTAAGAGTCGTATGTATAGGAGCGCCTTCTGATTGGAAGAACTATCTACCATCAGTTCTTTTTGCCCTCAAAACAGTCACACACGAAAGCACTGGCTTTTACACCAGCAGTAATTAGTTTATGGTAAAAACCTACGAGTGCCACTCGCTTTACTTTATGAGCAGTGGCTAGAACCGACTGAAGAAAGTAATAATGTTGTCAATTACGTTTTCAAACTTATTAATCGAATGAAGAAATGCCAGAACTTGCCGTGGAAAACATGAAAGAAGCTCAACAACGGAGGAAAACATAATACGATCGAAACACAGTGAAAAGAGAATTTGCTGGAGGAAATTTAGTTCTTGTTTTATCAACGAATCGTCAAAATAAACTAGAAGTACAATGGAAAGGACCTGGAAAAATAGAGCAGAAAATTTCAGAAACCAATTAAATTGTAAGTTTCAAGGAGTGGAAGGAGACTTAGAAATGGACATACCTCATTTACCTTTTAATCCAAGTATATTAAATTTCTCGAACATCATAGAGGAGAATGAACTCGAGAAAAGGTTGAAACCCGAGCAAATAGAAGATTTACGAAAGGTTTTATGGAAATATTCTGGTTGTTTTTCAAATAATCCTGGACTAACAAACTTAGTTTGTCACGATATTGAGCTATTAAATAACGAACCAATACAAATAAAGCCATGCAGACTGTCACCCCGACAGACTGAAATTCTCAAAAAGGAAATTCAGAAAATGCTCGATCTTAAAATTATAGAGCCGGGAGAATCGGACTATACATCTCCCATGATTTTGATAGAATCTTCATCAAAGGATCCTCGGCCTTGTATTGATTATCGTAAACTCAATGCTGTTACTAAAACTGAATACTATCCTTTGCCTAATATTGAAGAACATGTATCGAAACTGTAGCAAAAGCAAAATATATTACCCTATTTAGATTTATCTAGAGGCTACTGGCGAATTCCGTTAATAGAAAGAGCCCAAAAATATGAAACATTTGTAACTAGTTTTGGAAGTTTCAGGCCTCTACGTTTACCCTTTAGATTAAAAAATGGCCCCATATTTTTTTAGCAAAGTTATGACTAAAGTCATGGCTGGATACGAAGGATTCGCTGTACCATACCTGGATGACATTGCCATTTACTCAGAAAACTGGGAAGAGCACCTTAAAAACTTAACTTCTGTTCTAGACAGAATACAGAAAGCAAACTTACGACTAAAACCATCAAAATATAAATTTGTACAAGATCAAGTGAGATATCTAGGCCATGTTGTGGGACAAGGACAACGAACCCCAGATGAAGTAAAGATCCTGGCTGTAAAGGAGTATCCTACACCTAAGACCAAAACTTAGAAGTATGGGCTTTTTTAGGACTAGTAGAGTATTATCACCAGTACATACCAAGATTTTCAGAAATTGCTTCACCCCTCACAGATGTTTTGAAGGGGGTAACAAAAAAAAGGAAATATGCAATGGTCTGAAATATGTGGCAAAGCTTTTAAAAATTTAAAAGAGTTGATATGCGAGAAACCAATTCTATATGCTCCCGACTTTGATAAAAGGTTTATTATACAAACCGATGCTTCAGACAATGGCATAGGTATAGCACTATGCCAATTAGATGATGAACAACATGAACATCCTATCTTGTATATAAGCAAAAAATGTACTAAATTTGAAAAGAATTATTGTACTACTGAAAAGGAGTGCACTGCCATCATCTATGCTATCAAGAAACTGCATTTTTATCTGTATGGTCAGCAAGAATTCTTGATTCAAACTGATCATAACCCTTTGGTCTGGCTACAATCCAACGCCAAATGTAACTCTAGATTGATGTGCTGGGCACTTTCATTACAACCTTATAATTTTAAGTTCATTCATCGCAAAGGATCTTTGCACAAGAATGTAGATGTTCTGAGTAGAATTAAGTAATACAATAACTCTTAGTGTATGTAACCAAGTTTAAAATTTATTTTATTATTTAATGCATGCCCATCTGATGTATTTGAACATTCTCCAGTTTCTTTCTATTTAAATGTGGTGTAAAAGTATTTGTTGAAAAGTTAAAATTTTGGTCTAAAGTTTGGAACTTGTGGGAGAAATTTCCTCCTCTTAAAATAATTAAGAAGGCCGAGCTCATAAACTTTCAAAATTTTACAAAACTTTTCCCTTCAGAAAAAGTCTATCCGTTGGGGGAGAGGTTGTAACAGCTTTAATATCGTTATTAATTTCTCATGCATTTGAAATAGATGATTAATAAATAATGTACAGGTTACTGGCAATATTGAAATGCAGGCTTGATTTCATGCATGCATTTTCTCGCACGAAGCATGTAATTATTTTTTAAAAATAAATTTGTATACCTTTTCTTCTCTTGTTTGTATGTCACCATTTTTTTTTTTTTTTGTGTGTGTAAAATAAAAGTTATTGTAAAATTAAGTAAAATAAAAGTTATTATTATCCACTCCAATTTTGAGGGAGAACACCTCAGACCACCCCCAAGGTGTTTTACCTCAAAATTGGAGTGGAAGTAGAAGTTCAACCTCCTTGAAGCTCTGGCAACTGGAATACAAAGAGGAAACAACAAGTTTTTCCAGAAGAGAAGTATTACCTCTAGAGCAAAAGTTCTGAAGCTGCTTTTCATATGCTGAATGATATATGAAATTACTGACATAGCATATTCATCAAAATGTGTTAAACATATATCTTCATCCTGATCACCGACATTCAAATTAACCGTCTCAGCGGCACAGGATTTTAAATCCATCATGAAGATCGGTATTTAAACAACATTTATCAATTGAGTTTGTATAATTACTTATTTTAGTGTGTATTTTTATAAACTTACATTCATTAAGACAATATTTACATTATTAAGGAAAGTAAGAGAGCAAAATGTCTTAAATTATAGGCTAATATATGCCAATTAGCAAAGCTTCTGATGGCTGGATAAAATTGGTCATAATGCTCAAGAGGGTTAATGATTATATGAAATGACTTAATAAATTATTAATTGTATTTTTACATGGTAGATTTTAAAGGTACTGGCCAATAAAATTGTGTGGGTAATGTATAAGGCTTGCTTTTTATTGAGGGTTTTTTTTTTTTTTTTTTTTTTTTTTTTTTTTTTTTTTTTTTTTTTTTTTAGTGCACTGTGGTTCAGAAAGTTTGGGATCTATTTGAAAGTAGTATCGTTCTACATGGCTACAAATTAAAAATAAATAAATCAAAGTGAAGGGCAAATAGCATGATTGATGAATAAATAGAAACGAGCTGCCTTGTGACATGGAAATTAATTCCATAGAGTGTTTAGGAAGGTTTTGGAACCAAGACTGAAAGTTAGGTTAGGATGAATGAGAGCTGCATTGAGCATATCTTCTTTTGTAATGTAATACTTCTGAATTAAAATGTTACTTTTCAAATATATTTCTGTAGACTGGTTCATTCAAGTACACCAAGACGGTCAAGTGGTGTCAGTGTGCCTGGCATTACAGATGTAACAACATTTACTCTTCGACTGGGAACTAGACAAGGTGTAGAATCACGTGTAATGAGAGTTGAAACACATCGAGATTTAGCATTTTGGGCACGACACTTAGTTCAAGGTGCTCATAATGCTGCAGTTGCTATGAAAGAGGCACATTTTTGTAAGTGATAATTTTTTTTAAATGATTATTTTGTATTCTCAATGCAAACACAGTAGTTCAATTGTTATCATACTAATTTTTATATGATTTTATTTGAAAATGTCCGCATATATCAATTATCAAGTATTAAATTAATTTACACAAGAGTAAAATGAAGCCTAGTGTATGAGAACATTTAAAAAATGAATCCAACTAAATGATTTTCCTATACTTAGTTAAGTGTTTTGATTAATCACTGTGATTTATCAATGATTAAATGTATCACATGTTTAGATAAATATCAGGCTTCCATAGTGGAAAAATAAAATGCCCACTCTCAAATACAGTATATAATATTTTGGGGAAAATATATATCAGGGTAAACCTTGGCAATTTTTTTGCACGATTCCTGTTTACATGCAACGCCCTTCGCAGTGAAATGGTGTCCAAAACATAATGCAATAAAACATAAAAAATATATAATCTCAATAAACTGCATTTTAATTCAAGCAAAAAAATTAAGTAAAAATTGTCTTCAGTGTGTGGCAAACAGAATTCCTTAACAGCATCCAAAAACTGTCTAAAATGATCTGAACTAGAATATGTCTACTGTCACTGCCATATAAATTCACAAAAATAAGAATAAAAAATATCCTCCGTAGTGCTGGACCGGTGGCATTCCTTTCGAAAATCCCTTTTTTATTACACCCCACATATCTTTGAATAGTGTTGATATGAGCTTCGCTTTCCAGATCTTTAAATGTCACTGCATGATTTACTGAGAGGTGAACGAACCCATTATCAAAAAGACAATCATATGACACTTCCAGCAATCAGATGTGATCGTTGTCCCAGGTAGGATATTCCGTTGAATCACATCCAATAAAGTTTCTTTTCTTCTGTCCTCAACCACTTAAAAAAAAAAAAAAAAAAAAAAAAATACTTCCGCTCCCTAGTTTTATTCCACCAAACACCCACTTCCCTTTCTTTATTTACGCTATTATATTTCCTTTTAACAAATTCACTCTTGTCTATTTCAACAATCACGCTAGGACCTCTAATCATTTCACCTTTACAAATACATATATCAATCAACACACACATCCCTACAAAAGTTCTTCTAATCAGTTATGCTCTTATCATTGTTAATATTTAATTATCTTAATCATTTTAGTACTAGTTTCATACACCCACATCCAATCATTGTTAATATTTAATTCAGTCTTAATCATTTTATTATGTGGGGCTACCTCCCCCCCCCTCCACACACACATTTCTTCGGCACTTCAAGTTCTGCTCATCGCGCATGCGCGATAAGAATATCATCTCTGCACGACTGCAAAAGAGAACTTTGGCCGCCTTCTGTTTTTACAAGTTCATGTACTCGTTTTACTCATCGTTGAGATTCATGTTATTTTATGGCTGTGTACGTGTTTTGATCCATTAAAAGAATTTATTTTTCTAAATTGGGTGTCTAGCCATTAATCAGACCCCAAAATTACTATCTTCATACATCCACATCCACATAATCAAAATTTCAATAATACTAAAAGGATTCTCCTCAAACCATGATCCCATTCTAATGGAATGCTTTATTTTGTTAGCATTTGAATCTTTCTTGCGACAAACCCATTCAAAACCATCTGAACAATCTTTACATTCGACCAAGTGCATTTCCTTCGTACAAACAGAGCACTTAAAATGATTACTGAGTAAACCTTCATTTACACACCAATTAATTAGTGTTTTTTTCCCATTCGTTCCAATCATATAGAAACTTCAGATTAATCTTATCACAGCCATTTTACGGTGTAAAGCACAAAATAAGCAACATACTTCCTAAGCAACATCCAATGCAAAACTAAGCCCTGAGAAATCAAAATCACCACAATCACGCATTACAACCAATCGCATCATGATAGGTTGTAATGCGTGATTGTGGTGAAGATACACTGTAAAATACTCAGGTAACCATACATGAAACAATAATTTGGTGATAATCCAAGGGGTACCCCAAAATATAGTCTACCCTAAATTTTAATTTCCAGTTATCATTTACAGTAGTTAAAATATAAATATTTATTTTGGTGATCTCAAAAGTAACTTCTTAAGGTTATTTGAGGAAAATTCTTTGACTTAACATGCTATACAATGTATTTAGTAATAGGCATTCTAATTTCTCACTTGGCTGCATGATAAATAGAAATTAATTTAAGTGGGGAACAAGCTTTTGATGCCAACTATACATGAACTATTTGTTCTGGGCAGTGAGCTTGAAAAATGCTTAATGCCAGGTTGGTGCTTAAAATATGTGCTTCATTTTCAGTCTGTCACTGAAAAATTAACAAACATCGCTGTTTTCATGAACTTTTTATTACAAGTTCCAGTGGCTTTTATAAATAAGTCATAATGTATTTTGTTTGAAATTCAATTTTGAAATATACATTTGAGATTTACCTGTAGTAAAATGTATGCAGAACTACCAGATTTGCAAATGGAAGTGACTAAGTGGATGCAGACATCATGAAGGCATAACACACATTTTATTGGCAGTTCACTACAATATTAAACACACATCTTATCGGTTGTTCAGTAATGATGTTATCTGATGGCAGCTCATAATATTTCACTGTTGCATAATGTGCAACTACATTAACTGTTGTTGTCCCATCTAAGAAACTGACAATGGCATAACTTGAACTTTAAATACAGGGCTACTATAAGTGATCAGATTTTCAAAAGTGTTATATATACAATAATAATTAATACATTAAAAGAACTGCAATTATAGTGCAAATGTTCTGTGTATATACTGCTGGTCGCATGACACACTTCCAAGCAGTAGTCAAGTTCGTTCCATATTTTTTTAGCATGCTCATCCCATGTCTCCTAATCTAATATTGTGTGACTTGGGAGAGGATAGTTATCAGAAGTGAGTCCGTGATTTTCATGAATGGCATGCTGGTGAAGACCAAATTTTAAAATAATTAGATTAATGAGTGGAAGTTTAAATTACATGTCTGTCAGTTTAACCATAACTGGACTTTTGGACTCTTATTTATTTAACTGCATTATTTTGTATATCTATAACTAAGTCAGTAGTGTGGTTTGCTCGTACTTGCATATAGACGCATGCGTTCTTGTAACTTGTTTTTGTTAAATATAAAAGTTGCTATGTTATGTTAAGATAGCTACTGATTTATTTTAGTAAGTGAATTACTTCTCTTCCAGTATAATGAACATTTGGTATGACCTCATGCATTAGGGACACCCGATATAACACCCATGTTTTAAAAAGTTGTGTGTAATATTTGTGTATTAATATATTGTTAAACATCATATAATATGTAAAACAGTGAAACCAAATTTAAGGTTATAATTGAAGTTTGCTTGATATATATATTTCAAAGCATAATGAGTAAATAAATTACATTAATGTATTATTATTTTATCTTAGTGTCAGTGTATGTCCTGCTGGTTATAAGTGCATGTCAGTATATGTCCTGCTGGTTATATAAAAGTTGAATTCTAGTACAGTTAATGCTGATAATGGCAAAATTAGTGATTCAATCTTTTAAGTTTGATTTATCATGTTATGACTACATCTAGTATTTATTTATACATGGTAGGAATTTTGAGATTTTAAATGCATTTAATAAAATTTTGGGGAAAACCGTAGTTAGAAGATGAAACTTTCTTTGCATCTAGGAACTTTATAAATTATTATTAAAATCAAGTTTTTCACATTTTTCAGGGAAAATTTGGTTGAAAGGGGAATCTTTTATTTTTGTTTGCCTTGCGTATTGGTTTTTCTGTGACTTGTGACTGTTTTTTGATTAAAATAAACTGAAAAATGTGTTTTCTTTAAATGGCGTTCATTTGATTTTTTAACTGCAATTTATAAAATCATTTTAAGCAATAAGACAAATTTCAAGTAAGCTATGCTGTGCCTACAATTTTCTGCTCTTAATTAAATTATTAATTTTATGTAATTTTATCTATTTTGGGAACTAACAGACTGATGTAAGCCTCTAAAGGAATTCTTGTTTCGTGAAGACATGCATATAATTTATAAATTGATTTGATATTTTATTGCTTTTTTTCATCGCATCTTGATAAAGCTGTACAGATATTTTCATTTGCTGAGTTTACTAAAGATAATTATTCTTTATTGCTCATGTGTGAAAATCTCTAAACTTGTCCTAATATTAAAGCCAGAGGTTAATTTTTAAAATTAGAAATGCTAGAATTCTGTAGAAGGCCATTGAGAATGGGAACAAAAGTTAAATAATGAATAGTGAAATAAATTATAGAAAAATAAACATATTAATAAATTAAGTTAATCATAATTAAGCAAGTAATGAATTACTATATCATAAAAATCAAAATAAAGTTGAAGCAGTTAAACAAATATAAGGTAATTAAGTTCATGATAACAAAGCATGATACAGATGGTTTTCTTTCTTTCTACCTCCCCTCCCAATAGCCAGATGCTTATTTCATAGGCATTGTGAATAGCTGAGCCAATTAGTTATTTAGGTGTCTGCTTACTGAGAATGTTGCACTGGCTACACTACTAGGTATGGTCTGATGTCATGCACAGGAGAAACTAAAAGACCGTTAAATAACCAAGCCTTGTACAGGATTCAAACCTACATCCTGCAATTCAGACTAGTAGTCAGCCTATACAGCCTAACCACAATGCAGTCCAAGTGGACAAGCAGAAGTAAATAATTTTATCAGTATTCATCACACAGAGATATGCGTTTTTATTTTCGTTTCTTATTCATTTACAAGCATTTTGACCAAATCAGTATAGCCCATAAAAATTCCTCTCCTTGATGGGTTAGCATTTTGAAAAGGAGAATTTTCTTCCTCATTTGCTAAAGTTTTCCCATGTACACTGCTTTTTCCAGGGAAATTGAATTGTTTATTATGTATCTAATATTAATATCAGTTTTACTAATTACTAAACAAAATGTGCCAATAATGTTTTTTTTCTGTTAATGTTGCATTCAGTT